GTGAAACACAGACCAGAAGAAAACCAGATAGTGTTTTAAATGGATAAAATGTTGTAATAAGTGTGTATTTATCGAGCTTGGCTGGAGATTAATAGTTAACTCTCAGAATTATTGTGTAACCTTCACTGTTGCACTCCTTTAGCTGTGAACACCTGTCAGTCTAATGCACTTCCAGCTCAAGTGAAGTGTGGGCAGACTTAGAAATCATCATTTTTATCATTCTGTAAATCAGCCAAAAACTGGCTGTAATATCCTCGTCCTCACACATGAGCCCGTTTGTGAAGAGGAAGCCCCGCCTGCTGCTTCTGGGTCTTGGTTATCCATCTCTGGGAGTTGGATTGTAGCTTGTATTTGTCTCCCTGCTACAGTTTTGTTGTGGGTAGTAAAGATACATGCTTTAAAAAAAATCTGCAATCCTTGTTAACATAGACATGACACTAGGGCTATGGGAACTGGGGGTGCTGAGGGTGCTACAGCATCCTCTCACTGATGAAAAGATATAACATTAAAAAAAGGAATGAATGAGCGAGTAAACAAACAAAACACAAATTCATATCCACTTGTCATATAAGTGTTTAATCCTATGATATTCTTATAATCATGACATAATGGGGGACATTAAATTCCAGTGTGGTGTCATCCCTGTTTGGGTACATTTTGTTTCACTTTCCATGTTCTCACACCACCTATGGTGCCGTGGTTATGGATGGCACATGTTATAGACTGAGGTGTGTAAATTAGAGCACCTTCTGCTTTAAGCATAGTCCCAACTAGTGAAAACCTACAAGCACCAGAATGACCCTAAACATATTCTTAATGGTCACAGTAACATTTAGATTTTGATTTAAATTAAATAATGAGCTCTGGCAAACAATACAATTTACCTCCAGCTTCAGTACCAAGCAGCAACGGCTGGTCAGTTAGTGTAAAACAACTTTTTTAAATGTTCAGTGTTCTCCTTTAGTTTGTGTTATCCTTCCCTTCCTGCTGCTCTTCATTTTAACTCCCACCCTTTAAAGCAGCATAAGAGTTTTTCATGCTGTATTTTCTGGGTTATCCTGTGAGAACGTCCAGCTGTGACTGAGATGAACTGTTTTTACTCCCTCTGGCCTTGGACTCTCCACCTCCACAGACCTTTATCTGTTACACTTGTTCTCACTGGTATTTTTTTTTTGGTGGGGGGGGAGATTTCCATTGGTGGTTTTTTTTTTTGTTGTTTTTTTTTCCACTGCAAACTTTGTTTAAAACAATATTTTATAACCATCCTGATCAGCATTTGTCCAATGGAGACAAACTGTATATTGCACTTTTTTTTTTCTAAAGACAACATATTTAGGCAGCACGGTGGCACAACTGGTAGAGCTGCTGCCTCTCAGCGAGCAGGTCCCTGGTTCAAACCCCGGTCCAGGGGCCTTTCTGGGTGGAGTTTGCATGTTCTCTCTGTGCATGCGTGGGTTTTCTCCGGGTACTCCGGTTTCCTCCCACAGACCAAAAACATGCATGTTAGGCTGATTGGTAACTCTAAATTGTCCCTAGGTGTGAGTGAGAGAGTGAATGGTTGTTTGTCTCTATGTGGCCCTGTGATGGACTTGCGACCCATCCAGGGTGTACCCCGCCCCTCGCACAGTGATTGCTGGACATGGGCACCAGCGACCCCCGTGACCCAAAATGGAACAAACGGGTAAAGATAATGGATGGATGGATGGATGGATGAACATATTTGAAAATATAAATTACTTCTACACCAACAAGAACATTAAAATGACATTCACTTTGCACAAAAACAGACAACATAATGAAAGAATGGCATGTTACATGCACTCATTGAACCAAACATTTATTGTGTGAAAGCTGTTTTCTTAATGGGGTATTCTGTATTGATTTTTTTTTTTTTTTTAATATTTATCTGTTTTAACTCTGTATTATATCTTAATTTTAGCTGCATAGTATCAGTTGCCAGTATTTTTATTCTAAATTCTACAGCTAGTACCCCAAAAATAAACCCTTCAGATTTTCATTTACTAAAGTGCTTATGTCTAAAAATCCTGAAACCTGAAGAATAAGACTCATTTAAAAAGCGTAAGCACCCTGGAGGAGGCATCCTAATTAGATGCCTGATCCACCTTTACTGATTCCTTTTGATATGGAGGTGCTTTTATTTCTATACCGAGCTCCCCTCCATGATAAAGCTCCTCACCTTATCTGTAAGGTTGAGCCCGGCCACCCTACGAAAGAATCCCATTTCTGCTACTTGTATCTAGAATCTCGTTCTTCCTGTCATAATTCATGACCATAGGTGATGGTTGAAACGTGACTAAACCAGAGCTTTGCCTTTCGACTCAAATCCTTCTTCGCCATGACAGACTAGACTAATGCCTACATTACTTCAGGTGAGGCTTGCTCCATCAAACCATTGTTTGTGAACAAGACTCATAAAGAATAAGGACAATCTAAATTCACATTTATTCGAAAGGCAACATAAACAAGTGTCTAGTCTATAAACATACCAGTACATGTTGAGTGATTCTTCTTTTTATCTGGATGATAGACCAGAGTTGTCCTATTCTGATACTCGAGGACCACTGTCCTGCAGGTTTCACTTGTTTTCCTGCTCTAACACACCTGATTCAATGGTTGAATTATGTCTTCATATTCTACAGAAGCTTTTTAATCACCCATTGATTTAAATATTGTTGTGCTGGAGCAGCAGAGAAACATCAAAAACATGCAGGATAGTGGCCTTCGAGGACAAGGACTGGACACCCGTTTTAGACCACAAGATTTAAATTAGTTTGTATGTGTTTTTTAATTGCATTTTATAGTTTTTGGGAAAAAAAATTGTACCATTTGTTTGATTTTACATTACGTTTTATTATCTTATTGTCTGACTTAATTGTGAAGTGCTTAGCTATACTGCGGTCATTTTAAAATGTGCCATGTAAATAAAATTGCCCTAAAAATGACCTTTCACTTCCTGAGGATAGATCCTTGTTCATGAGCCCCTGATTCTCACTGAACGTAACCTAGCTGAGCTAAAAATAAAACAATGAAACGCTCAGCTCGTTTCATTTCCAGCACTAAATCTTTTGCAGAGATAAAATATTGTGCTTCATTAAATCACTTTGCATCTTTCCTCTTATTCAAAGCATTCCTCAACCCTGTGTTCTGAAGTAGTTTTGAACAGTGGGTCACAACTGTGGTTGACCCTGCTCCCTCACAGTCCTTCCACTCAGTCTGTTCATTAGGCCCAAAGATTCATTTCACCTTGTTCTTCTTACAGTGCCAACCACTGCTGCTCTGCACTCCCCTCGCCCGCCCCTTTCTCCTCCCCTTTCCATCGCTCAACAAGTACACATTCTCCCTGCTCTTACACATATTCTGAATGGTGTAGTCCCTCCAAGCTGATCAGCCTTACAACTATCAAGGAAATGCATGAAGAGGTGGGGGTGATGGCAAATGTGTCCAAATAGACGTATAGTGCAGTTTCTAAGGGCGGTGAGTTCCACATCTCTCTCTTACAAGACTCTGCCCTGCTGCTACTCTTTTGCCATGTTCACAGTGACACTGTTTGGGCAACACGCACATTTTTCACTCATCAGGTAAGTCTTCTTTTTAAATTTTTGGGACTGACTTTTGTCTCTTGGTGACCCAGGGAGATTCTTCAGACTGACTTCATTGTCTCTGTCAGTGAAGAATCCAATGAAACTTGTGAAGTCACTCTTTGCTAATCACACCTAGCTGAGTTTGAGTATTATACTCTATATGTTGTTTCTACATGAGGAGACATGTTCAGGACCTTTCTGTGGAAAAGTGGAGTAGATGCTTAAAAAAAACCCCCTCATGAATAAGTTGTGGTCTTGCCTCGGCAGCCAACACACCCGGTTAATTTTCACTCTGCGACTTCTTCTTTTCATTTAAATCAGCCCTGCATTCATCTGAGAATAATGAGACCCTCTTTGCATACTTTTTTTTTTTTTGAATGAGGAGCTCTAATCGCCTGTACACTTCAAAATCACCATGAAGAGGCACACTTTACTGAAGATGCCAGGCAGCAGCAGTTTACCTTTTTATAGAATCTTCCAACACGTGTACAGACTGTAAATCTAGAGAATACACATTCATTGATAATTTATGCTATTTGGTCTATGCTCTAAAGTCAATTATTTTAATATTTGTATTAGTATTTGTCCGTCAAGTCAAGTATCTCAAGGCCAGAGTGAAGTCCCTGCCAACTTCAGCTTACTCACAAAAACTTTAGAGACCCATGTGTGCAAAAATACACAATTAACTCTCTGTTATCTAGTACTTTCACTATATCATAGGACATATCTATGTCTTTCTGTCAGACAGTACAATCTTGTGTTTTTCTGTTAGAACATGAGGGTTAGAACATGCTGATTGGAGACAGCAGGTCTCCAAGTCATGTTTATTCTGGAGAGTTTTAGTTTCAGTTGCACTCTTATCTAAAATATGTTTGCTGAAAAAAACCCCCTATGTGGTTGAATAAGATGATAAGCCTCGGTACAGTCGCGATAACGCAGTTGTTTGATTTTCCATGTGTGCTTTGGGTTGATCACTAACGTCCAAGGTGAGTTTTGAAGAATGGCGTAATGAAGGGGTGAGGGATGTTAACCACTACCGATCAGAATAATCTTTTGCTATAAAGTGTTGTAAATCACCAAATGTGGAACAACAATCAGGCTCTTCTGTGCGGTGAAGTCACTGCTCGTGTGTGAAACGAATCCAGACTTGAAGAGTTCAGCCTGAGCCTGATGTTGAGTTTAATTCCATGTTCATGACTTCACGGCATGTAATCAGTCCATTTGTATCGTACATGCTGTGGGTTTGATGATCACAAAGGGGAAAGATCTGCAGAAAAGTTCCAAGAATTATGTAACATTTTGGTGAATCTGTTCTGTGGATTGTGGAAATTATCAAATAACAATCTTCTGTTTTTGTTCATTTCAGATCTTCTAGTTTGTCGACTATAATTTGGAACAAAAGATGCCTGTCTTGCATATCAAGCATAAGTACCAACCTGAAGATTTATGTTTTGCATTATGAGAAGCTATAGAATAAAATGCCAATGGAAGCTCCACAAGTGGTGAGTGTGGAGGAATGTCCACCCTGGAAAACTTTACACAATATGGCTTTTTCAACTCAAGAGTCGTCAGTAGAAAGTGCTGCTACTTCAGCTAATGGCTCACCTGATCACAGAGAGGACAGTCCTATTACTGAAGACCAAAGCTTGATGGTAAAACCAGATGAGGATTTACCAAACCTTAACAAGGGTTGTATTTGTGACAGTGTGGAACCTATGGTGACTGTGTTCTTTCGAGAATCTAAAGGAGCCCTTGGAGACAAAGCTCTTAGCTCAACTCAGCTTGTAGACAATGTGTCTGTATCCACTGCTTCCATTAAAAAGTCTTGTTCTAGATGTCCACCTCCTGCTTTTGCAGCAGACATCCAGACAAACCAGACTGCTCAGAAGCCACCTGCCCTTACTCTAAACTGTAACTCTGAATGTACAAAAAAAGATTTCAAGAAGTTGGAACCTGTTTCAAATGGACCCATATTCAGTCTAGACTCCAATTCTGCCCCTGTGGTCCCTGCTGAATTTGTTCAGGGAGATCTGGATCATGTCGTGAGGCAAAAACAGAGCACCATTACCTTCTCAGAGAACACCTGCTCCTCCAGCGCCAGCAGCCATGTTTTTAGCTACGAAAGTTCTGATGACGGAGAATCGTCCCAGGATGGGGAGAAAGAAGACGACGATGACGATGTGTTCGTAGAGCTGCCGTACAGTGAAGATTTTTTCATAAGCCCCAGTCGAAAAAGCACAGACATGAACAAACAGAGGAGGATCTATTGTGTGGGTGCACAAGAAGTTGATCGCACTTTAAGCAGCTCGGGTTATGAGGCAGAGGCAGAAACAAGCAGCAAGGAGGTATGCTGATGTTTAGCATATTGTTATGTTTAGTTTAGTACACTGAGATGATATATATATATATATATATATATATATATATATATATATATATATATTAATATATATATATATATATATATATATATATTAAAGTATACCGACTATTTCAAATTTGATCGAGTGAAATGCAGATTCAGGAGAAATTCAAACAGCTGTTTGCTCTAGTTGTACTCCCTTGGTTGTGTTTTGACAGGGCCCAGAAAACCACATTAGTGCTGATCTTTACCTTCCATTACTGAACCTTCTCCCTGTTGTCCTCCCTTTTCTGCAAGATCTGTTCTGATGTTCGTTTCACACAACCTCTACCCTGACTGAAACCTCTTCTCCCTGCTTTTTATTGGCCATTTTAAAAGCTTGCATCAACATTCTTAAACGTGCTGTAATCTATTATATAAAGGCTCTGCTACTGCTGGAGGGAACATGCTTCGCCACACATACCTGCTGTGCTTTTCGTAACACCCAAGGTTAATGCAATGGTGGATATTTACTTATTTGTCTGGTGGTAGGATGTTGAGGTAATCCTGGCTTTACATGCTGAATGGCACTCTGCTTCGAATGGGTTGTTTTGAAGAAGAGTTGAAAAATGCTGGGAATCCAGGGAGGGTGTTTATGAAAGGAGTGCATGTTTCTCATGCTGTCACACCACAAACCATGTTGTTTGGTAAAGTCAGAGGTGTGCTTCACATTATGCAAAGTACAGTGGAACAAAAGTTAGATTTCTATTGTTTCTTCTGTGGAGATAAAATCTTTCCCGAGACCATTTCAACAATTTATAACAGCAAAATGTTGCTTTTATTTCAGCTGCTCCTTTCTTCAGGGGTCGCCACAGCAAGTGAACTTTTCACAAAGGATTTGGCAACTTTATGACACAATTCCTGATGCAGCCTGTGCTTGAACCTGCAGTGCCTCAAAATTACAAAACTGTGACACTGACCGACAAGTTACCACAGCTCCCAACACAGAACAGATCCACATTGTCCTTTTTATAGACAAAACTCAAAACAGTGTTGACTATACTTAATAAAAAATTGTTTAACTAATAAAGAGAACTTCTGATTTCAGATTTCCTCAGCTAAAGTTTGAGTTTAGATTTAAATACAGAAACATTAAGGTTTATCTTTTTATTTAGTTTGAACATGGGAGTACAATTTCTTTATTGGAATGGGATGTAGCTGCAGTTGTCAACAGTAACCATATGAGGGCACCATCTGCATAAAGTTTTCAATCTGTCTTCTCCTGTCTCCAGTTTTAATTGAGCTCGCATATGACTAAAAATATCTATAAGCACGTGTTTTTAAGCCCTCTTCTCTATGTTCACATGGTGCATTGCATCTCAGGATGCTACGAATGTAATTTATTCCTCCAAGTAGCCAGGTAGCCCTTGCCCTTTCGCATGACTGGCTGCTACATTTGGATACCTCCATGGTGATCTCTGGCACTCTCTCTGTGGGTGGCAAAGACCAGGCATCGAGCCCAGAGCTCACGCTCTTAACTCCTCATTTCCATGTCAAAGCTGCTATGTTGGGATTCACAATGTAGCCAATTTGTGCTGATAAAGTTATAGTCGGCTCACTTTTTTTTTGCTGTCTCCAGAAGATAACATCAATTAATTTATCTCAAGGGATGACTCATACCAGCTCAGTTCCCATGGTGTTTGGTTTAGGCACAACAACCAGGGCCAGATTGAGGAGAAAAGCACAGAGATGAATTAAGGGAAGCGTCTCACTTGAGCGTCAAGTCCTCTCTGGAATTTGTCTCATTCTAAGTAGAAGTGTCCACATTCCCAAACAACACCTTGAGGGGATGTTGCTGAAAAGAGACAGTACGAGTGTGTTCCAGATTTGGCTTGTGCGTGAGCCAGAATGGGTCATCTGTTTCTTGGATTGTTGTTTGTCGCACACAAGGGGTTAATTAGCAGTCTGGCTCACGAGAACTTCAAGTTCCTCTTATATGTTTTCAGTCATTTGGTGTGGAATGTTGAGCTTGTTTTCCCCAGCAAACATCTTGCATCATTTTTGTGTTTCCCCTTCTTGCTCTTGCTTTGAAGCATTAAAATATTCACACATGCTCTCGGTGTAGTTTCACCATGTTTTTAGTTTATAAACATTCACAAAGGATTCATCTCCATTACTCTCGTCTCATGTCTTAAACGGCTTAATTTGTCCTTCTCTTTACAGAGGACAATAAAAGTTATTTTTATTTGTAAGACCGACAGAGGATTGAGCTCTCTAAGTTTACTGATTCAGTGTCAAATATTTTACATTCCCTGGTCAGCATCGTGCTGAAAATACCAATATAGCAAAGCAGGGAGGCTTTATTTTTTCCTTTGGGTGACACAGGATGATCCTTTAGACCTCACAGGTCAGCAAAGAGATTGGTCCGATTTAGATCATTCCTATGGATTGACTGGGAAGAGGCACTTTCACCTTGTGCTCTGTGTTGTCAGCTGATCCTGGGTGGTCAGCAGACTGAGTGGTGCCTCGTGTCTGGTCTGGTAATTCCTCATAATTAAGACAAGATGCAAAGTGCTAATTTATCAGTTCCTGTATAGGAATAGTACAGGGATATTAAAATATTAAATAAAGTCTTCAAAAATGTTTCTTTTTTTAAATATACTTTCATTTCAAACTGTTTGGAGCAAGTGGAATTTATACAATAAAGTAGTCCCTCACTTATCACAAGGGTTGCGTTCCAGATACCCCCGCGATAGGTGAAAATCCACGAAGTAGGGGTGTTATCTTTAATTTAGTATTTATATATATTTTGTCTTTATAAATCCTTCCCACACTTGCATGTTCTTAACAATGTTCTAAACTCTTAAACCTACATAATTTTAACAACATATGTATATGTACTGTACCGTACTGCAACATTTTACATGGGTACTCACCATGAAGATACTACTACAACTTGAAAGATGAGTTCAGCGTCAGGATTATTTGCGAATTTCCTGCCAGTTCTGTGAGCTTCATAGATACATCGTTACTTCTGACTTTGCGTTGCAAAACTACTTTTTACTACATCGATTTCTCCACTAGTGTTTGCTTCCCCCCCATTGGTGTTCCATGAATTTCAGCAGAAAGCAGCGGCCGGAAGCACTGTTGGCTTCTGGGCCTTGCAGTTCTTTTGACTTGCGTTACAGAGTAGGCTTACCGAAAGAAAACTACAAAATGGTGGCACCTGTCCAAAGTATTTTTTTTGTCTTTGTTTTGTTTTTTTGTCCTATTGGTTGGTTCCCACTCCCGTTAACTTTCTATCCCGTACCGCCCCAATCATGTGAGTAATATTAAAGTTGACAATTATGTGTCGTGTACAATCTTACATTGAAAACTTGTGAAAGAGTGAGTCTGCGAAAGTTGAACCGCGAAGTATCGAGAGACAACTGTATTTAAAGAAATATGGTTTATTATCTAACAGTGAAGTCTTGAACTGGCAGCAGAAACTTGTCCTGTCTTATCTGATTTTATTTTCTCATTACAACACAGGAGTCTCCACAGGTCAAATCTCCCTGGTCAGAGTCAATGAGCCAACTAATGAAGAAACTGGACCAGCTTAATCAGGACATAGAGGAAGCTCTGAGTGCAAACTCATCACCGTCAGACACACCGTGCACCCCCCACAAGGAGCTGGTAAGAATTTGCTCACATAACCTGATGCAATGTGTGAAATCACATTATTTAATCCTATATTTCATGTACATATTTGACATATTTTAGTATTCTGTGTAGTGAGTTTCAACTCATTTAGATCTAATGAACAATGTTGGTAGCACTTGTGTCCACTTTCAGGGTCCGTTTCAGATCTGAATGGGTTAAATCAGCATTTGGACCGCAGCTTTTCCACTTTCAATGCTTTATGGTGTCTGCATTGTCACGGTTGATGGTGTACACATTCCTGTGAAGCCTATGCTGCATACTTAGTCATGCCTTTTAAACGTCCTTAAATCAATTTAGTTTGCTCTTTGGAGAGAAAACATCTAGAGGGATTATTCAGCTGTATGAGCAGCAGGTGTTCAACATTTTTTGTGCTGGTTTGTTTTCTGATAGTGTTGCTCATTACTGTATGTTCATTTTTTTTAAAAAGGGCATATGGATGTAAGCATTAGTTTAATATTGTATGATGAATTAAAGCATTTTGACTTTTCTATGTTATGTAATTTTTGAGATATAATGATGCATTCTGTAACCAAATTCCATTTGTCAGGCCATCTTAAAATGTCTGTGCCTCTTAGTCTGTTTTATGATGCAGTCCACATATTAGAGCCTTCAGTCAGAGGAGTGCAGCAGGAACAGACAGCTATTGTGTTTTCGATGTTGCAACCAGGGCCATGCCACTCTGTTCCCAAAAAGAATCTTTCTTATAGTGGCGTGTTTCATGAAATATCCCACCACAGTTAGCACTCATGAACAAAAGTGGCCTTTTGAGCTCCATATGCATGTACAGCACAGAGGAGCTGTTGTAGTGGAAGAGAGCTTGTATGATTTGGTCTATTAAGAATGGTTCCGAGAGGCTTACATGCCTCCTAGGCATCTGCATAACCATCCCAGGCATTCACTATTACTTGCCTTAACTAACGACAGGCAATTGGCCAAGACGAGACATCTTTACTGAGATATTTGACAAGGTCACAATCTCTGTCCTCTCAAAGGAACATCCACGGATACAGGCTTCTTTGTGCTCATCTGTCAAGCTGAATTGAGAGTGGAGACTTCACTTCTCCAGCCGCTGACCTCAGCCCGTTGTTTTTTTTTTTTCCCTGGCCACCGTTGAGTCTTTCCTGTCCTTGTCTCTTCAACCACACAGATACAGATCCAGTCTCAATTGTTGTTGTTGTGATGTTGTTGCAGTGGGATGGTGTTTCAAAGCCCACACTGAGCCAAACCCTGAATGACAAAGCTCTTCAAGGACTAGATGAAAGGGATTGCCAGAGTCGAGATAAATCTTCTGCTTATCGCAGCTCCTCAACGGGAATAAAAACCAGAACCAAGAAGACAGTAAGTTTCTTTAGAATCCTTTAAGCTGTCAGCAGTTTCAGATTTTCTACCAATATGCAATAATGTTATTCCAAAGTTCCTATATATATA